AGCACCATTCCTATGAGTGCTTTTGTCTCAAAGAGCCAACAAAGGGGCAGCCCTCTCTCTCTATCTCGGTCTCGGTTTAGCATCATATATCGATTTGGAAAATTTTTGGATTGGTTGTAGTGTGGATTAAGGAGTTGCTCCTCCGTGTTGTAGTCTCCCTTGGTTTTGTTTGGTAAGGATCTCTATTTTTATCAAGGTTTTAAAAACTGACCTGGAAACAAAACCACTTGGACCATCGTTTTTTAAATAAGGTTCGATTGTTTGGCTTTTAGTCGAAGGTTCGACCGTTTGGTTCAAATGAATGACCCATTTTGACAATCAACGATTCAATCGTCTGGTTCGAACGAACGGCCTGTTCTGACAACAAAAATTGCAAGCAAAAAATTATGAAACCGTTCTGGCCACTGATTTTTAGTTTGACAGTTTGATCATCTGGTTCAAATGGATAATTCGTTCTGACAACAAAAATTACAGGTAAAAAATTGAGTATGTGAGGTCCATTAAGCAGTATCATACATGTTATGTCATTCAAGCGTATGACCCATACGACCCAAAAACGGAACCGTTCTAGCCATCGGTTTTCGGGTCAACGGTTCAAACGGACGACCCATTCTAACAACAAAAAATTATGGAACCGTTATCGCCACCGGTTTTTGGGTCAATAGTTTGACCATCTGGTTCGAACAAACGGCCCATTCTGACAACAAAAAACAAAAAAAAAAATAAAAACGGCCAAAAACCATTGAATGGGTCAACACGTCGATGATTCAACCACTTGGGTCAATGGGTTGTTGGTCGATTCAATAGTTTTTAGCCAAGGACCGGGATTGGGGTAAAACAAAACCGATTGCCTATATGGTTCCCAATTAAAAAAAAAAATAGACAGTCCATCTTGACAACAAAAATTACAAACAAAAAATTGAATGTTTGATGTCCATTAAACAATATCATGTGTGTTATGTCATTCAAGTGTGAGACTCATACGATCCAAAAACGGAATCGGCTTCCAAGACGGTTCCCGAGCTGAATGGTCTTACTGTCTAGGTCAACTGGGAATTGTTGATGTGAAGCAAATGACAGCTATGAAGTAGAACTTAGAACTATCACTATATGATCATATTCTTTTATATGAGATGCTTTGTTAAAGCAATATTTAAAAAATGAGCACAATATGATCTCTTTTAAGTCTTTATATGAGTTTCAAGACTTGAGTACTTATAATTGCAAATTTCTTATTAAGAAACCATTATCTTTTTTTGATATAGCAAATAGCAATGTTACAATTCCAATTAGCCCATGCAAAGCAAGGGCCCCTCCACTAGTGTTTAAAATAATATGAAAGAAAAAATAAAGAAAATAAAAAGGACATTTTAGTCCAATATATCATCAATGGTTTTACTTTCAGGGTTTACCCTTTAATGAATGAGGCTGAGGCTTTCTCAAGAGTCAAGACCGAAGAGAGAGAGATGCAACAACAACTAGGGCTTGGTTGGGCGAGATACCCTATTCGGTGTGTATATATCTCAATAAGGTGGCTTTTTTGCTTAAAGGACAGATTTTCCAATAGAAATGGGTTTTGGGATTCTACAATTTGTATGGATAGGATATGATATTAGGCTAAATCCAACCCTTCTCTACCCTCATATTATTGGAAGGCATATTAATTTTATGTATTAGGTATTAAATTTAATGTGAAAAATAATGCATTTTTTTACACGTCTTAATCAAATAATTGGAAATTTTGTTGTATGTTCATGTTATTTTACTTATTTATTACTTATATACTAAAAAATAATAGGAAATTAGACACTGGTTCTAAACCAGACCCGCCCTACCCTTGCATGCAAGAAGGGTAAGCTAAGAGAGGGCTTTGCATTTTCATGTGTGAAGAGGGTTTGGATTTTCAAAATCCAACCCCACTATAGGTTTTGGGACAAGCATGGCAGCTATCTCGTAACTATTATTTCCTTGCAGTGGCAACACAAGAATTGTAGTGGTGACCAACTCTCTCTCTCTCTCTATTTGTGGCACCACCATTTGCAATAGCAGGCCTGGCAGCGTTTAGGATTGTATAATCGATCAGTTCGATTTAAACTGAGGACCTAACCAACTATTTGGTTTTACCATTTTCTCTGACCAAATTTAGTTTCCGGTTCAGTTGGACCCTAATTCCACATAAATGACAAGCATTTAATAAGTTTTATTAATGAAAAGTTAAAATGGCCTAGAACCCAATGATTTTAATTAATTAATTATTAACTATTATTAATTAAAAGTTAGAATGACTCCAAAGCCCAATGATTTTAATTAATTAGCTATTATTAATTAAAAACTAAAATAGGCCCAAAGCCCTATGCCAATGCGGAATTGGCGAATTGGAAATTTCCAAAAGTAATTAATGATTAATGAGCAATTAATGGCTAATAAACAATTAATAATGAGTCTAGGTTTTAACTAACTATTATTAATTGTTTACTGGAAAATATAATAATTAATTAGCATAAAGTAATAAATAAAATATTAATGTTTAATATACTTAACTAAATAACAACATTAATTTGGTTTTTGGCTCGATTCGGTTGAAAATTTCAGTCAAACCGAAAATTGATTTTTTTAAAAATAATACTGAACCAAATCAATAGCCAAATTAGCTTATTCAATTTGGTCTGGTTCGATTTTCGGCTTATCAACCGAATTTAAACACCCCTAGTGGTAATAGCGACCAAGGATTAGAGTGGCAACTAGGGATTACCTTTTAAGTATGTAATGCAACTTAGTGCTTTTATGTTTTTTATGATTATATTTATGATAACCTCTGCTAAAACCGTTTGACCCGGATAGTTAAACCATTGACCCACAAAACTGGTGGCTAAAGCAGCTTCTTTTCTAAGTCATTTTTAAAAACCTTGGGATGGATGTTTAGAAATGGAGTGAAAAGTTGTGCCTCATCCAAGTTAAAAGACGAAAGAAAGCTCATCAATCGCTGTCATGGTATGAATTAGAAATGAAAAAGAAGATATAATGTTAGGTTTTTTCTAACCTCAATCGCTGTCATGGTATGATGGTTCATCCGTCCAGGCTAGTTATATTGTAATAGAATCAATTACTTTATATTACGTTCAATCTGTCTATCAAAAATTGTTTCTTCATATCCATATCAAATTACATGTTTGTCGTGTTTTCATACATTATTCATAATTATTTAAACCTTAGATTTAGTATTATTGGCCCTTCAATATAATATTTTATTACTATCCATGTGCATACAAATAATAAGGTAATATGCGTTCATTTTGAAATGTATGGATAAGGTATGTACGACGGATATTATTAAATTTTTTCTCTATTACACTTGTTTTCAAAATACAACTTTTTTAATATTAGAAACCATGTTTTTCAAAACCGGACTGGACCAGACGATTGAATAGGAAAAACCGGTAACCGATCAGCCCCCGAGTCCAGTTATACTAGAAACAAGAAATTTGAAAAAACGTTGAAACGTCAAAAAAACTGCTGACCCGAGCGGTCAGACCACTAAACCGTTCGACTCGGGTAGCGGTTTGCAGGTTATCCTTTTTTATTTTCACAGTTTTATTTAAAAAATAAAAAAATAAAATGACTTGAATCCCCAAATCATAATCGAATGCTTAAGGCCCTTTAGGGTTAGAACCCATTTTCGTTCTAACCAACCAACCACCTACGGCGGCCAGTACCTCCGGCGTCCAACGACAAATAACGGCTACCGACAACGGCGATTTTGCAGCACTTCAAGAGTTCCAAGCTCCAGCAGTAAGAGTTGCGGCAAGCGAGTTTGCAACGGTGGCCACCTTGCAATGGACGGCGAATTTGCAGCGGCTGTCCAGCAAGTTTGCAGCGGACAAACATCTCTCACAAGTCACAACCCAAACTTGCGAGTTTGCAACGAGTTTGTCTCTTTTCTTTTTCTTTTGGAAAAACACCAGACCAAGCTGGATGAGTTCCGGTTTAAGTGCCTTGCTAAGAAAAAAGACGATGAAGAATAGTGAGTTTGTCTTCTTTCACTTGTCTTCTTTAGCTTGATTCGGTTTGTCTCTTCAGGCTACTTGTCTTGCTGCTCAATCTTTGTTCTCAATAAATCAATTTCCCCCTCAAAGGGGTCTTTCATTTCACGAATGAAGAATCTTCAACCAAACATCTCTCACAACCCAAAATCATGGTTTTTTTAAACTGGTTTTTACATATAGATTTAAGGGTTTATTTCAAGCTATTTTTTCTGTATTTTTTGAATTTTTTTGTGTTTTTTCTGTATTTTTTAGAATTTTCCTGTATTTTATGTTTATATTTTCTATGTATTTTATACTGTATTATTTTTTATTTAGATAGTTTTATTTTCTGTACTTTTTCTGTTTTCTATTTAATTTTATGTTATTTTTATTATTTATAAATATATTTTTATTTTTAATTTATTTATGACATCATGGGTCGAACCATTCAACCCAGACGGTTGAACCACTTAACCAGAACCGGTCCCCTGACCAGTTCTGTTTCCGATTCGTTTTTAAAAACCATGTTAGAAACCATTGCCTACCAAAGCACCAGCCTTTTTTCCTTTTATCCCCCAGGACCCCCACACCGGCACACCAAGTCCTAACAACCGATCACAATAGCCTTTGCAGCCGTGCATTGGGAACATCTCCCTTGTCCTCCATGGCGAGATGTTCCCAATGCACCCCCATCAGTTGGTGACTTGCTGTTGTGGGACCTGATCCGAACTCACACGTCAGTTGGTGAGTACCAGCCAAGTGGGGGCCTTGCCCAGCCTCAACTTACTGCCTCAGCAACCATATTATGAGCAAGTGACTAGTGAAACAGCTTTAGGATTTACTATTTTGGCCCAGTTAAATTGACCATCAGAAAATGGTCGAGGTTGGAGCACATGCATTTGCAAGGCCAATTTATATACAATAGTATGCCAATTTATAACCATTGTTTCACCAATTTGTGTTGATCAACCCAAAACGTTTCAAGTAGAAACAGCAATGGTACAAAACAACCGAAAACAGCAATGATGTGCCAATACAAGGAAGAATCTTTTTGCAAGACCAGGCCTTCTCAAGGGGCCATACAGAAACAACTTTTGAATGGATAACGATGCAACATTTTCTCTATTTCTACAAGGAAAAAAAATCACTATTTTGGGTAAAATGGAAAAAAAAAATGAATCCATCCATGGAAACAGGATAAACAGAATATCGATCTTCCCAACCGCAATCTATTGGGGACTCAACGCATAACCCTTCCCATTCTAGTTTCATTCAAGCAAATATTTATCTTTATTTCTCTTGGTGGAGCCAACATTTTCAAGTATAATTTGTTTCTTCAGTAGATCAGGTAAATGTACAATGTATACCTGTTCTCCAGCTGAAATTTCTAACCTATTCAGAAAATGTTATGATCAAACGCTATTCAGAGCCCACATCAATCCCACTTTGCTTCAAGAATTTTTTGGCCTCTGCAATATCCTGCAAAAAAAAAAAAGTTTATTGTTTAAATTTCAATATATATATATATAACAGGTGATGGCAGGATATCATTACCTAACAATTCTAGATCCAATATGGGTTCATAAAAAATATAGCATTGCATGTTTACATGATATCATTACCTAAAAACAAATATAACCCACCAACTTAACAATATTAGCCTACAATTCTATTGTATTGTTTGGGATGGTCAGGGTAAGTTTGAAACATTGTATTAAAAAAACTTTAAAATGTGTTGATTACCCCCGAGGGAACATATAAACTAGATACTGTATTTGTAATGCTTGAAAGGAATATACCTATGACATTTCTAGAGCATAATTAAAAACTAGCCTAAAATAGTTGTGGTGGGTGATTGCTTCTTCAACATTCTGATAAATCATGAGAGATGCCTAGCTAGAGATGCAAAGTAATCAAGCAGAATGCACAAAGTAATGACAGATTCTTTTTTTTTATATATTCATGATACATCAATCATGTTGCTACCATGCTTTAACTTGTCAATTTCATTGAAATTTTAAAAGTGTATAGATTAGAGTAAGTGATATATTCAATATATGGATTTCCATTGATAAAACAAATTAAACAGCAAAATATGCAATGAGAATTCACATTGTAAAAGTATCATACATCAGTGTTTTCAACCCACCATTGACCCGGACAGTCAAACCGTCACCCGGTCACAATTCCGGTTCCAGGTCTCATAAAACCTAGAAATCCTTCAAAACTGTTGACAGGGTCAAAAAACATTCGACCTGGGTGGTCGAACCATCGACCCATTTGACCCAGTTACTGGGTCACGAATTGCATACTAAACGTGTATGCAAACTTTCGGGGGCTATAACTTTGCACTCCAATGTCCAATTAGGGTGATCTTTTTCTTTGATCTTGGGTAACTTTTCATTGTCCCACTATTTTTGCCAATAAAAACTCCTTTTTGGCCTCAAATCATATTTTTTAGTATTTTTTAACAAATAAAATTTAAAAACTGAATTAAAAAATATAAATTAAACATAAAATAATACTTGTATACAAGGTTTAAAATATCGATACAGGCAGATATGCCAGTAGGGGCATAATGTATCGAAATTTTGAACATTGCTTGTATATACATATATCACATGTACAATATACTTAACATTATTTTATTAATATAATACATGTTTATACCGAAATACGCATGGGTTAACCTGTGTATACAAATATATACATTTAATTTTATGTCTACATTTAATTTTATGTCTCATGGGTTGACCTGTTCGACCGAATGGTCAAACCAATGACCTGCAACCCAGAGGCAAAAATAATTCGGCCTCAAGGTTGGTTTTTTAAACATTGTCATGCATTACCCAGTACCAGAACAGGTCTTATTCCTTTTTTCTTTCTTTTTTTTAATTCTTGTAAACAGATATAATAACATGTAATAAGAAAAAACAAAGGGGTGCACCCAAGTCTTATGTGATAGGCAAATACCACTTAGGCTAAGAGGAACAGGGCTTTGTTGGGGAAATAGTTATGGAGGTTTCCGTTGGAAAGATACAAGTTGTGGGCAAAGATTGTGGCTAGCATACATGGGTTGGAAAACAATGGTTGGGAACCTGGGATCTTGGCAAGGACTACAACCGCCTCTCCTTGGTCAGACATACACAATCTACTTCCAGTTTTTCCCCCTTGTATCAGGTATGGTCTTAACTCCGGTAATAAAATAAAATTTTGGGAACAACTTTGGGTCGGAGACTTACCTCTGATGGACCAATTTCCCTCTTTGTATGCTCTTTCCAATTTGAAAAATGAATCCATTTGTTCCTTCTTAAGCCCCTCAAGCTCTCCTTCAGGGTTTGGATGGAACCTAGGTCTGAGAAGGGCAATTAGGGATGCAAACTTGGACCACTTTGTGTCTTTGTTAAATATCCTTGAAAATGTTTTCTTGGATCCCAATAAGGAGGACACTAGATTTTGGGTTCCCTCCTCTTCAAGTGTTTTCTCTTGTGCCTCATATTTTGAGACTTTAACTCAGCCTTCTGATCCCATCGGATTGTCTTTCCCGGTTAAAGAAATTTGGAGTAGACCCATTCCTCCTCGGATTGGTAGTTTTTGCTGGGAAACTTTTCTGGAAAGAATTAACACAAATGACCTACTTCAGAAGAAGAGACCCAACTCTTGTTTACTTCCTAATAGATGTACTCTGTGTAAAGCTGATGGGGAAATTGGTTACCACCTTATGGTTACTTGTTCGGTTGCTAAATCAGTTTGGGAGTGGGTCTTTTCCCTTTTTGGGTGTGTTTGGATACGCCCTAGGAGTGTCCAAAGCTTGTTCTCTCCCTCCTTTTTCAGATGGCCGAAGAAGAGAGGGATGACTATGTGGAGAAGCATCAGGGCTGCAGTGTGTTGGACTCTATGGGAAGAAAAAAGCTCACGAATATTTTCAGATAAGGAAAGAACCATCGAAAACTTATTGGATCTAATTCTGTTAAGGGTGGCACATTGGTTGAAAACTATGGAACTGTTCTCATATTATTCTGTGGCTGATTTGGTGAGAAATTGGAAGGAGATAGCTTCCTCTGCCCTCAGTAAGAGAAGCTGTAGTCCTTTGTGGTCCCCTCCTTCTAGGTTCATAAAACTGAATTTTGATGGCAGATGTTTAAGGAACCCAAGGCCTTCTGGGATTGAGGAAGTATTCAGGAATGAGGTGGGGGCTATTATTGCTATGTTTTCAGGCCCAATTGAGGAAGCAGACTCTCTTAGGGCGGAGATCCTCGCAGCCCTGGAAGGCATCCAAAGAGCAAGGGAGCTGAACATCAGATGTTTGGTCCTTGAAGGTGACTCAGAGGTGGTGATTAGGTGGCTAAAAGGGAGAGACAGTGACTTATGGAGTTGTAACAATGAGAAGAATAAATTTAAATGGCTGAGTAGGGATATATAGTGGTTCATTACAACTGGGTGAAGAGGACTACTAATTCCTTTGCTGATGGGTTAGCAAAGCAAGGGGTGAATAGGGATTCGATTTTTTGGGCTAATTTTTTATTTTTCCTTGTACTCTTTGATGGGGAGTTAAGTCTTTTTACCTCCCCTTTGTACCTAAACTTCACATAGTTTCATATCTTTAATAAAGTTTCTTGTTATTGATCAAAAAAAAAAAATTATAAAATGGTTGTAAGACTAGCAATGTTTGTATAGAGCAAAGTCTTGAACAATCAAGAAAAGTGTCCAAAAAATGAGTGGCTATGTGAATGTTGAATGGATTTGTGGAAAAATCAGAAAGGACGGTCAGAAATTGACACAGTTGAAGAAACCTAGGAGTAACTCTACTAGGTGACAAAATGAGATAGAATAGATTAAGATGGTTTTGTTGCTGATCAAAAAAAAGAGGATTAGGATGGTTTTGGTCACATGCAGAGAAGACCATCAAGACTACCTGTAAGAAATGACCTATTACAAGTTGAAGGGTTAAAAGAGATAGGGTAGACCAAAAAGGAAATGGATTGAGATGGTAAGAAACAATTTAAGGGTTCATAATTTAAGAACAGATAGGGTAATAGACAGAATGGAATGGCAACTTCATTCAAATTAAGAAGACAGGCCAAAGCCTTCTTTCAAAAAAATAGATGGTCAAAACCCAAGATATAATAGGGGCAAGAATACAAGAAGATCCTTGTGATAAACAATGGATTGCATGCAGTGACAATAATGAAGAATAGTCTGAAGATGATACATGTATAAGGAGAGTGAGGTATGAAGAAAAAAGGATTCTGAAGTGAGGAGTCCAAAGGCAATCTATTTTCTGGGCTATGTTGTAGCTAGTGGGATATCCCTTGGGTCCTTTTGGGGCTTGTTTGTAACTAATGAATTTCTTTGTTGGGTAAGCTTGGGTCTGTATTGTAATTAGTGGGGTTTAGGTGGACTTTATGTCTACCCACAACTTTTTGTGCACATTCTGATAATCTAATGAATCTTTTCATGTTGTTGATCCAAAAAAAAAGGATTATGAAGTGAGAGGACTGTAATACAGGAACAATCATCATAGAAGATGAGAAGTTAGAGTCCAGTAACACAAGTAGGAGGCTAGGAGCAACCCCCAATTAAACTTCAAAACAACATGCCTACATTCAAGGAGGATCATTGGGAAGATGCAAAGGGAGTAAAACCAGAACCAAAGATAATTGAGAGTTAGCCCCTGCTCTGTGCAAATCAAAGAAACCGCACAAGAGTAAGTAGTTCCAATTTCTAGAAATCACAGTGGAGATGGTATCAAAGAACAAACCCTTCTATCAAGCCTAATGCCGAGTTTGGTGTACGAAAGAATTTTGGAGCTGGATATGGTTAAGCAATACCTTAACTATGAACCTGTTCCACCTCACTCCCTATCCCTTGAGGTAACCCCGATTCTAACTGAGTTCCTTTTTCTGCTACCAGCTTGCTCATGACATGGTGTAGATCCTTTAGCCATACCAGAGATAATAACCAAGATTGCACAAATACACAAGGGACAGAGATTTGGAGTATTATAAATAGTACAATTCAATGAGCTGGTTAGAATGGATTTGGGGAACATGGACTAGATCGGGAGGAAGGTGATACTCCTAACCCCATACCTTTGCAGCTAAAAGAGACCAAAAGCAAGGAACAGGAAAAAGAGATAAAACTTAGGCCGCCCTATCAAGGAGTTTGCAAAGTCAATGGGGCTAAAGATACCCCCACCCCCAAAAGGAAACAAAGGTACACCAGGAAGTGTTGAAGCAGTTGAGTAAGAAAAGAAGAGGGGGAAAAAAGAACAGGGCAAGACTTAAATGTGATAACAGCAAGTGGAGTGTATGGGGGAGATCACTGGGAAGATAAACAGTACTATTGAAAGTAAAAAACGTGGAGAGATGGATTTGAGTAGGTGATGACAAATGTATATGATCCTAATGAGTACAGGGAAAGAGGACAATTGGGGAGGAGTTATATGCAATCAGAGGCTTATGGGAGGGCACATGATG